GTCGTTACATACCTGCCAAATCAGTAGTTCATCAAATTCAAAAGTATGTTCTGCATACGTCACCTATAATATATTTTGTCTTTGTACCAAACAGATTTGAGAAATGACTGCTGTACACATAGATGATACCCCATTTTTGAACTACATACATAATTAAATCAAAGAAAGCTTAGAAAGAACTCCCGTATTGAAGACACATTAAAAATTAATTCAAAATTACTTGTACTTGAGATATTGATGGAATAGCTGAAAACTCATTATATAAATCAGGTAACTGATATGAACAGGTTTGAGTGTAAAACTAATAAGGCCTGCGTAATGTAATATCTATGTACCAAGTTTCATTGTAATGTGATTAGAACAAAAAAACTATGAATTATTATTAGAGAATTAATATGAACAAATTTCAACCCAAAATGAATCGGGCCTGTCTATTGTTCTAAAGCATTTATGTACCAAATTATATTCAAATGTGATGATCAGTAATTGAGATATCAGTGTTAATTAATTATTTTATTTAGGTGATTAATAAGCACAAATATTTACCAAAAACTAATTGGGTCTCTGCATAGTCCTAGGTTCATTGAAATGTGATGATGAATACTCTATAAAAGTTTCATTAAAATCCAATTAGTGGTTCTTTATATATCAGTGGAACATTCATGGAAAAAATTAACTAATTATGCAAATTAGGTAATTAATATGTACTGTCTGTGCAGTGTCCTATGATATCTATGTACCAAGTTTTATTGAAATGTGATGATTAGTACTTGAGATATCAGTGGGAAAGCCAACAATTGATTAATCATTATGCAAATTAGGTAATTAATATTGCACAGATTTTTACCCAAATCTAATTAAATCTGCGCATTAGTTCAGAGCATCTATGTGCCAAGTTTCATCAAAAATCAATGTATGGTTCTTGAGATATCAGTGGAACAGACACACAGACAGACACACTAACTGCTTCGCACACGGGAGTCAAAAAGAAGAAAATATATTAAGGTTCACTTCAAGATCAATAGGGTACACAAGCTGTTCATACCTTTTTGATGTTGTTTGCCAATCTTCTTCTATCATACACAACTGGGAATCTGTGATGTCAGTAAAATCATCCACTACTTGCATATTATTTGTGCTTTCGGAACATGTGACTGAAAACAATATGTACATGAAGTCCCTGTTAGTTATCAAGTTTAAGAAATATAGTTTTGTTCATCGTTGGGTAAGAACATATCAGAGGTATGGATTTTGAACTGCATTTGTTTAAATAAAATGGATGCCAGTTGGTCATTTTGAATCCGATCCAAAAAACAAAGTCATTCATCAAGGCCCCATAATGTCTAATATACTGGGGGGTATGTACCAAGTTTGAATGAAATTCGTCTTTACAAGACCAGACAAATTATTGATTTTGATGAATTTTTAGTACAAGCCATTGGGGATGTGTCACAGCCCCCTGTTTTTAGCTCCGCTGTCGACTTTGTCGAGCGGAGCTTATCATATGAGTGATTGTCCGTCATCGTCCGTCGTCCACATCAATGTTTTACTTTTTCGACTTCTTCTTGAAAACTACAAGCCTGAATACTTTGATTGTATATGTACCTTGGGTAGACCTCTCTCAGATTTGTTCATTTCATGATGATATCTTTAATTCTCTAATTTTGGTGAATATTTTTGTCATTTTTGGTAAAAAGTGATATTTTCGACTTCTTGTTGAAAACCGCAAGTCCAATTGCTTTGATATTACATATATAGGTACTACATGTAGACCTCTCTCAGATTTGTTCATTTTGTAATGATATCTTTAATTTTCTAATTTTGGTGAATATTTTTGTCATTTTTGGTAAAAAGTGATATTTTCAAATTCTTGTTAAAAACCTCAATTCCAAATGCTTTGATATTACATATATAGGTACTACATGTGGTTCTAACTCAGATTTGTGCATTTCATGATGATATCTTCAATTTTCTAATTTTGATGAATATTTTTGTAATTTTTGGTAAAAAGTGACATTTTCGACTTCTTGTTGAAAACCGCAAGTCTGATTGTTTTGATACTATACATATTGTTCATTTTCTAATGATATCTTCTGTTCTTTAATTGAAATGTGCATTGCTAACAGCAGAGCTATCTCAGCCGAGAGGCTGCTTGTTGTACATTAGTATATGACAAATGAAATGCCAGCAATATCCTTTTTGATCAAGTGCATGTAACAGTTCTACACTGAACTAATTCGAGAAAAATTTAACATGTGTGAGTCTCTAATGTCCATGTTGGCATAATGTAAAACTATGATTTGGAATTGCATAGTGAAATAATATACTGCCTCTGTACCAAATCTAAAAAAAACAACTACCGGTATAAGTATTTCTGATAAATAAAATAGCCACCAGTTGGCCAATTTCAAAGAAATCTGAAAAATAATGGATGTGCCTCAGTATGCCAACAGCGTTACCCATATTCTAAGTTTAAAGAATCTGTCGGCCAGCAAAATTTGGAGATATTGCTCTACACACTAAAAATGTAGGTTTTTATTCTATTTTGGGGTCGAATATGACCGACAGTCAGCCATTTTCTATCTGAACAACAACAAAAATGAACTTCTGAGAACCCAATTCATAAACCCTGATTGTGTCCAGTCTTTTGAAATGGCTGCCATTGGGCAATCTTGAATCAGACCACGAAAAGAATGGACATACAATGCTGCCCAAGATATGTTATGTATTTGTGAATTTAGAATGTGATTGATCCACTAGGCATGTCTGAGATACAGATGAAGATGCACAGAGCATGCATGCACGGAGGTCAAAACTTTAGTTCTTGTTTTTGGATTGCATCTGAACAGGGACTACCGGAGTAATAATTTATAATACATTTCAATTTGATTTGTTTATCAACATTGATAGGGGTACATGTATGCGTTACAACTGAAGTCAACACTGATTGTGAAGAAGTGCATTAGAAAAATACCCACATGGATGCAGCGAAATAGCAATGAAAAAAATGAGTGCGCTTCTGCAATCCAACATGCATGAATTGTCATTGAAAGTTAATCCACTTTTTCAGATTTTAATTTTATTGCAAGTGATTGTTGTCATGGTTTACAGTACAAACCTAAGAAAATACTACGTCTATTTTATTTTATCAATTCTCCTTAATCTAGTGACAATTTTACTGAATGTTAACATGATGACTCACCATTAGATGCTCCAAGAAGAGAGGTGATTATTCCACCTCTAGATTGGTCTTCTAACTTTGGTTCACCATGATCTTCCTCAGCTGATGTCTTTGCCATTGACTCGTCATTTTTCATATCCTTATCACATTCTCTCAATTTATCAACTGTTTCCTGTACTGTTGTGTTTCTGTCACCTGTCTCAGAACATTCGGCAACAAAGTCAACATCAGTGTTTGGAAAACCAATTTTCAACTGCTCTGTAGAAACTTTATCTGTCTTGTTATTGTTTATACTTTGTTTCGGGTCAATGACTTCAGGTGGTGTAACACTGCATTCATTTCCAATCAAACTATCAGTCACTTTTACTGTATTACTCATTTCTTCTTCCAGCTTACACACAGCTTCGAACAATGGAGATGATTTTATTTCTTCAGAAACAGAAATGTCATTTTTGTTGCCCTTTGGCGTATAGAGTTCGTCTACATAAATGTGTGCACCATGCTTGATAGTTCCAGTTCCTTCATTCACAATTTGTATGTTGGCTTCCTGGTCACTGCAGTCGATTTTATCACTCTTTAAAATAGAAAATGTATCGTAATTCTTCACATCAGCTACATCCACAGTGTCTTTTGCTTCTTTTTCACTCAGTAACTTAGTTTTATCATCCTTGTTTTGTTTTGTCTGTAGAGTACTCTCAGCTTTCAATTCTATTGAATCAGATATAGCTACAACTGTGTCTTGTAACATTTTTCCATCATTGGTTTCTTGAGAACATGTGTTTTGATGATCTTCATATGACTGTTCATTATCCAGGACACTTGACTTTTCCTTTTCTATGTTTGACTTTTCCTTTTCTAAGACACTTTCCTTTATCATTCCACTTGTATAAGCATGTTTTTCTGAGGACATTTTATCTGCATCTGTTTCTGTTTCTTCTAATTCAGTTGATGATACTTCCTGCAAAATGTCACATTTCGGTGGCATTTTGTTCTGAGTTGCTGCTAGAGGTTTCTTTCTCTTCCCAAAGCTAGGTACGAATTTTGCTGCTTGTGACAATGGCAACTGTGATGATGGGCATTGAGATAGAGAAAACTCGTCAGAGTTTTGGTCGTGTTGCAATGTAGGTTCAAGAGTTTTACTGTCAAGTGAAAAAACAAACAATTAATTTTTTGCAAAGGAAAACAGACTAATTACACTGGAGTCAAGAGGGTTGAAAATGTTGGTATCTAAACCTTTTTTTAATGGGTGTATCAGCATTTTGATAAATCACATAATTTTTCATACCAGCACAGATGCCAACTCAAAAATTGTACCTATCTGCCACTATATGCCGGAAGGCGGACAAAACCCAATCTAGTCTGGGGCTAAAAATGGCATTATGGTCCCATTATGTTTAATGTAGGTACAAAGTTTGAACAATATCCACCCATGCTTATTTGAGATTCTGTTCCGCTAAATAAATTGATGTGCATTCTGTTTAATGTATTAACTAAGTTTAAAGCAAATCTGTCTACACATGAATGAGGTCCAGTTCAGGTATGGTGAAAATTTGTGATTTTGATGCATTTTTGGCATTAAACTGGCTTGGATCAAGTAACAAACACATGTACATATGTTTGATATAATGTCTGCCTGAACTTGATCAGTCCAAGCATTGTAAGCTATGGCTAAATACAGACATACTGTTGTACACACAGATATGAGCGTCAATCCATAAGTCCCCATTTCCAAACTTCATCTGAATTCATTAATAATATACACATCAATTTTTTTTTTTTTTAACTCACACTCAATGGCAGCTATTTTTGTACCCCCAAAAAAACATTTCACCATGCCATCAACATTTCTTAAGCACATAGGGGCTCATGGCCAATTCCATTCAAAGTTAATATGACCATCACACACAATGGGTTATTACTGATACATGTCCTTTTGTTTTTTTATTCAATACAAAATGGTCACCTGGCTGCAGGGTGGCTGCCATGTTGGATTCATTGTCAAGTGTCCTCACCCATTTTTCTGACACTTATTAACTGATTTGGGTTAAATTTCGTGCAGAGGCAAGACATGTGTTTCATATTCATGCCAATTTATTCTTTGTTTTAATGACATTTTCTCGACATCCCTCCTTTTATGTTTTATATTGACAATAACAAATAAATGATCAACGCTAAATTTGGACAGTCTGGATATAAAAATGAATTGTGCAAAAATTTGATGATTTTTGTTAATCAAAAGGCTGCCAGTCTACCTTCTTAGATTTGATCACATACAGATTAATATTCATTGATGTGCTAGAATACAAATGTCTATGCATCAAATTTGGATCCAATTGATTGTAAATTTGAGATATACTCCGATAAGCAGAATAGTGTAAAAACAATGGCTGCCAGTCGGACACCTTAAATTTTATTGAAACCCCAAAATACCTGAGAGGATCATGCAATACATGTCTTGCTTTTGTACTAAATTTAAACAAGTCATTGAAAATGACACAGTCCCCGTTAAGTTCTCTTTGTGCTTGTCATATTAAAGCAGAGGGGTTGTCGCAAGCGTGTCCTTGAAACTTGAGTTCCAAGTGGCGTATACATGTACAACAGATTGTTTATTTACATCAAAACACGTGTTTCGTGTCATAGTAATATGGCCAAAATAAAAACAGCCGTTATTCAGCCATCTTTGATCTGATTATGAAACACAGAGATATGTATGATGTATGTGCCAAATACGAATGAAAATGGTACATAAATTGTGGAAATATAGTAGTAAGGCCAAAAAGTCAGATGGCTGTCAAACGGCCATCCTTGACCAGATTTTGAAACAAATTGTCATGGACATGCATCCTAACATGTATAAAGTACATGTATGTGCCAAATTTGAATGAAAACTGACAGAGCACATCCAAGATACCGCATAAAAAAACAAAAACAAGATGCCTGCCAGTCGACCATCTTTGATCCAATTGCGAAATATATCGTCATGGACATGTATCCTAACATGTATAATCTATGTACCAAGTTTGAATGACAACTGACAAAGCATGTCCAAAATACAACATTTTCAAAAAACAAGATGGCTGCCAGTCGGCCATTTTGAATCGAATCGCTAAATCACTACATGTGCATATGTCCCACATAAGGTACTAGGCACATGCAAAGAATGAACGAAATCGGTCCAAGGGATTCTGAGATATGACTCCGGACAGACGCACGGACACACGGACGGACGGAGACCGAATTATAAGTCCCCGTTTTCGGACGTCCGAACGGGGACTAATAAAATCTGAGAAAGTGCATCTGAAAAACAGGTAGGATACTTGTGAAAAAAAAGAGCAAAAAAAAAACTGTTTAATATTATAATGTGGATCAAGCCTAGACATACCTATAGTAAAAAGAGTCAATCAACAAGTGTTGGAGACCCAGAGTTGCATCTTAGAACAGATGACACTCACCATTTATCATGACCATCATCAGTCTCTTTTTGTTGTTTATACAATTGATTGCCATTTTTAGATGCGCCTCCAGTGTCCTTTCTTTTTGTAGAAAGTTTGGACATTTTATTTAAAGGACCTTCTTCGACCACTTGTCCAACTGATTGTTCTTGCTTTTTGTCTGAAATCAAGTATTACACAATTACTGTAGATGTTCAACATCATGCGAATTTGTTTCTCATACATTTTCAAATTGATATTGTTACTTTCCATCAGTTGATAGCATTCATAACAAATACCAATATTATTAATACATTATTATTCAAATTACAAAGACCAGAACCTTTAATTGGCACTCTTGTCTCATTGATTTTACAGATCCCTAGTATGTGGACATCTGCGCATAATTAAATTCTTGTCAGAACACTCCAGTTCTATGTTGTATATAGTAGTAGCGGTATATTAGTAATATGAGAGCTGGCCTCCATACTGAAGGTTGTAAACAAACAATACAATTTACCTTCATCTTTGTCCTTTTCCTGTTTCTTTACCCGACCTCTTTTGCGTCCACCGGCCATGTTTTAACAATTTCGTTCTAATTATCAACTACAAAATAAAGAATGTAATTTCATAATTACTAAAGAGTTGTGGAACTGTTAAAATTACATCATTTAAGGTTACATTAGTGGAGTAGGATGCAAAATTACATATGCATCATGAAAAGACAAGCCATGCTGTAATCCATCTTATGTAGTAATGGCAACTTTAAGATATGTGTTTCTCAGAACGAATTGAGCAAGTATGCATCCTGTTCCCAGTAAGAGTTCAAGACAAACTGTGTCATTAAACTTGGGCACTGTTATGCTTCAAACCTCCATACAGCATTGGGGCCACTTGTGGTATGGTCTTCGAATACGGTTTCACTGCGATAACATATCAGTTGTCCAAATATGGAAAAAAGGCTCCTCATCATGTCCACGGATCATGCAACTTGTCCGACTGCTGTTCTTCACTGCAGCATCTAATAACTTTCACGTCATGATCTCACATATCTCAGGGTTTAATAACGATATCGCTGACTCTCTCTCTCGCCAACAGATATTGCGGTTTCAACGACTGGCACCTCAGGCAGACAGGGTCCCAACCAAAACTCCGGACCTGTGCACCCTCTTAACGGCTCCGATGTGCGACGTAGTCCCGTCAACCTCACACAACAAGCCTGCCACTACATCAACCTGAGCATTGCACCAGGTACACGACGGACATATCATGTGGGACAAACTCGCTATCTTCTCTTCTGTCGCATGTATGGAATGAATCCTTATCCACTAACGCAACGCTCAACGATTCTGTTTATGACACATCTCGCAACATCGTCACTTACCTATGGCACGCTAAAAGTTTACCTCGCAGC